CTCCTGGGTGTCCCCAGGGCTTGTGCCCTCTGGGAGGGCAGGATGCTGAATGGCTGTTAAGCTCATCTGATGCTATAAAACTGTTCTTTTATTTGGGTGACTCAAGAAGCAGCTCGTCCCTTTGAACTTGGGGTAGCAGGTGACGTGTTTGAAAACGCCCGTGGCAGTGCCACCTCAGGGAATGACTGGGGTCTTGAAAACGCCCGTGGCAGTGCCACCTCAGGGAATGACGGGTCTGGCCGTGCCATCAAGTGTGTGAAGGGAAGCCTGAAGTCGTCTTTGTGGGGGGGGGCTCTGTCCCCTTCCTTTTCAGTTGTCTGCACCAGAGGTTGCCAAACACTTAAAACCCATCAATTTACCCAGGAGACAGGGAACTGTAAGGAAACAATGTCCACATTATGGGCTTACATAGCCCTCCGTCTTGGCTAGTGTATTCCACTCCTTGAAATGTAGGGGCAACGTGGCCACTGTGTAGCAGTGAGAGCACGGTCATGTCACAACGCTATGGTGTTAAATAGCATCAGGATTCCAGGGAAGACCTTTCCACAGCTTTCTCTCCACCTATCTGTTCAGTGTTTATTTTCCCTCTGTCTCCAAAGCCACGTTCTCATAGTACGCATTCGCATGTCCGGACTCCCTCCCGACCCGAATCCTGAAACACAGCTCTCACTTAACCAGCCTCCCATTCTCTGTGCTCGCCATGAACCTGATCTGTTGATAAGCTCTCCCTGCCCATCCTCCCGCTCCCGCCTCTCCGCGGGGGTCCTGCTCCATGGGTCCTCTCTCCCAGATCACCCAACAGCAGACAGGCCCCACCCCAGGCCACACTTACCCTGTCTGGGGAAAGCAAGTTGCCTGGCTTGTGGCCCGAGTGAACGTTACGTGTGTTTGGGCAGTTCAAGGGAACTGGAGAGGAGGTGGCAGTTTGAACCAAGGAAAAAAACCCAAAAAAACAATCCATCCCATTCCTGTGCCTTCCTCGGGCGTGGCCCTCTTCTGGGCCTTTCTTCAGCATTTCATTCCTGCGTCCAACTGCCGTTCACAACTGCCCGTTCCAACTGCTTGAGAACTCTTGGCCCCGGCATTCCGTGATGTAAATTATTCCACGCATGGCTCGAAATGGGGGCGAAGCAGTGTTGCCAGGTGTCGGATCACTAGTGTAAGTTTCCTGGATGTCGGGGGAGGGCGGAGGAAGGGGGAGAACTCACCCTCGGAACATGTGCTGTGGTTCCTGCTTCAGCCAAAGCACCGTCATTGAACCGGGCAGGCTGGTGCCGGCAGCAGCTGGGGAGTTGTGGGGGCGCAGGGCTCAGAGCCGGGGCGGATTTTTGCTTGAGATGTTCTTCTCCAAAGATTCTAGAGTCGGGGCCTGCTGTGTTTGGGACAGAAGGGGTTGGGGATTGAGCAGTCGGGTGCTGCTGCAGCGGGAGAACCCGGCCCTCTGGGACAGGCCTCGGAGTAGAGAGCCTGTTCCACTGGCTCAAAATGTCGAGGGAGCCAGTGTTCCTGATTGCCTAAAGCCGGCCAAAAGACCACAAGAAATCCCTGCAGCTGGCGCTGCGGGTAGGGAAACATCCAGTTGCAAACATTTGTAGGGATGAGATCTTCACTAAACCAACAACCTTGTGCCCCCTGCCCCCTGCCCCCTGTTCATGATATATTGTGAAGATGTTCAGGTCCTGGGTTTATAAGGAATCTGAGTGAAGAGTTTGTTAAGGCATAGTCTTGAGTAAAACAATTTCAGTGGAGTATCGAATGATTGCAACCTATTTTTAAAAATCATGTTGATGCTCCTCGAATCGAGGGCACCCCACGACTGACACACTTGCCCGGGACGTGTGAGGGACGTTGGCTGCACTGGCGCTGCTGAACCGCCCTCTCCTCTTCCTTTCCTTTGTAGTTGTCATGGATGATGATGATGACTCGTGTCTCCTTGATCTTATTGGGTAAGACGCCCTTTCTATACTCAGGGAAAATCACTGTGTGAGGTTGGCCGAACGAAGACAGTCGACTGAAAACCTCACGGGTTTGAAATAGCCACCGAGTGATCATCTTAGACAGAGTAGAGAGACAAGTAGCGGCCGGGGATAATACAGGGGTCTTTAATCAGCTCTGCTCACACTGCTTACAGATCTGTGGTTCAAACCCGCCAGCTACACCGTAGGAGAAAGAGGTGGCCGTCTGCTCCCATCAAGATTGACAGCCTTGGGAACCCCGTGGGGCAGTTCTAGCTACCCTGCAGGACAGCTCTGAGTTGGAATCAACTCAATGGCGCTGGGTTACGTTTTTATTTTGCTTTTGGCGTTTACAAGGGGACTTCAACATGTCTATCGAAAAACTTGTCGTATCTTTCAATTCCGGTGTTGTTGGGCTTTTTTCCACAATCTTTTGGGAAGCCCCCCACCCCCACCCCCTGCACGGTGTAGCAAATCCCAGGAGGCAGAAACAAATGGCCGTAGGCCACTCCAAGGAGAACGCTAGCAATGGGATTGTGCGGGAACAGAAAACTGAAGGGGGGCTGGCGGGAGCAGGGTGGCCGTGGCTTTCTCAGTGTGGTGAGGACGGGTGCTGCGTGTCAGTAATGTGCCATCTGTGTTGTGTCTCCTCTGTTTCCATGCTCTAGAGACCCACAAGCACTGAACTATTTCCTCCATGGACCTGGTAACAAATCCGTAAGTAACACTGAGAACATTGCAGACGTCAGTTCGGTCTCTCCTGTGCGGGTGAAGTAACCGCCCTGTTGAATGTGTGCTTTTTGCAGAGCAGCGATGACTTGACTCATTCGGGATTTTCTGCAGCCAACTCAAATTCCATTTTCGCCAACTCTAGTGTGAGTATCTGAAGCACGGGAGTGTCAAGTGTTTCGGGCTCTCGGGGGGCCTTGTGCATCGAGCCCGTAATGGCCTCTGGCTTCTGATGAGCATCGTGACCTGGCCTCTGGCAAGTGACAGGGGGGCAGATCGACTGGCTTCTGTCAACATTTTCTACTCTGCACTTAGCCGGTTCAGACAGACTGAGCCTAACTTTTTTCTGAAAAGAACCTCAAATGTTATCACCTGGGGGAGTCTAATGAGAAGCTATCCTGAACCTGATGTTTAAAGAAATCACACCTAATCATGGTTACTTAGGACTCATTTTCTAAGAGACACCTCCTGAGCATTTAGCGCATGCCTGGCACACTGCCGGGTTTAACACATATTGCCCTCCCCTAATTCTCACAGCAGCTCCTTGAAGTGGGTAGTGCCCATCTTTTAGAGATGAGGCAAGGAAAGCAGAGAGAGGTCACAGGGAGAGCTGCAGAGACAGGATTTTTACCCAGGCCACGAGGCTCAAGGTCCCTAGAAGGGCGCGCACAGTTTGCCGGTGATTACCAAACCACAGGTTGGCAGTTCACACCACCTCGTGGTCCTGCAGAAGAAGGCCCCACCAGGCTGTCTCCGTTAAGATGACTGTGGGCTCAGTTCTACTCTGTGGCGCATGCAGTCACCCTGAGTCTGCATCTACTTGATTCCAGTGGGTTGATTGGGGGGCTACCAGGTCCTGGGCCCCTCCCATCAGCAGCAGGAGCGCCTAGACAGACATGGGCGCTGGGCGCTGGGGCAGCGTCCGCTGGGGAGCGCTGTCCGGTGGCTGTGCGTAAGCCCCGTGTTCCCAACATCTTTTCAAGCCCCGGCCCCATCGTAGGTGTTGGGCTGAGGTCAGGCAGCTGCCACCCACAAGCTGTGGAACCTTAGACATGCCACACGGTCGCTGTAAGACTCGGACGCCCTCACTTTTGAGCCCAGGGCAGTTCTAGAACTACCTCCCGAGCGTGGACCGACCACTCACCCGTGTTCATCATCATAGGGCTGTGATTCCCTGCGTCTTCAACTTGGTCAGGAGTCGGGAAGTTCTTGAGAATGCACATCTGTCAAGGACTGAATGTATGTGAGGTAGAGCGTATCACGCAAGACACCTCTCTACATGCGAGGGGTGGCTTCCCGTGAGGTGTCATTTCTGAAAGTCATTCTGAACACGGAATAAGTCACTCCGTGTGACACCTCCGTGAGCCTGTCCCTGCAGAGCAGTGCTTTCCATTGGTCAGCTCTCCCACTCCCATGAGAGGGTCCACGGAAACATCCCAGACTGTTCCGTTGCTGGGAACGCATCATGCAGCATGTCACTACTGACAGCAAGAGTAGACTTGCTCAGAAAACCACGTGGGCATCGAAGCTTATTGTCTGAGACTGTGCGCTGTAAAAAGCACCCAAGTGGCCATGTACCCCCACTCTGAGTTACTCATACTCATACTTGACCCCTGACTTGTCTGCAAAACCAGTATCCCCCTCAGTTTCAGCTGCCTTCTCCACTTCTGTTCACCTCAAGTCCACTGCCCGGCCAAGTCCGTGCCAGGCCCGCTGCTGATTCAGTGTCATGAGCTCGGTTAGCTTTTTGGTCTCGTTCTTTCCGGCGCCAACACCGAATGAACTTCATAAATTGGATCATTCTTAATGGATTACATAAATTGGTTTTCCCTTTACCTTATTTTTAGATGGCTGCTGATTCTTTAGTAACTTTGGCACGCCCGTGAAAGACTGATAAGAAGGACAGAGCACATCATATTTTTAACTCAGTGGGTCTCCTGCTCTTCAAAGGCCCTGTCTTCTCTAGTTGGCCACCAGCGGATGCTGCCTAAATGTCGATTGACTTTTACTGGAATAGGAGACTCAAGTGGTTTTGAAATTATCTTTATAAAACGATTACTCCCCCCAAAGTTAATTGACCACTCATTTGACGTCAGAAGCTTGTTTTTATCTGAACCGGCGTCGTTAGGAAGGATGGTGGGCCAAGAACGAGGGTCTTCTTGCTGACCCGTCTAGCTCTAGACCTTGTCCTAGATCCCCATCGAATAGTACCCCGAGCACCCAGACATCACTTAGATGCCGTGTTGAAGACGACTGCACATGGCTGTCTCCTGGACACACAGCCAGAACTGGGGCTCACTTGAGCCGTAGGGTGGCATTTTGAAAAATCGTGTCAGGATTTCAAAAGGAAAACTCAACTCCGTGTTGTATGTTCCAACTCAGGCCCTCAGCATGTACATCCATGTGCTTTCTCCCTGCCCGAGAAGAGAGTTACCAGATCAAGGGGTGCCTGTGCTTCGGGAAAGTGGTGGGCGTCATTACTAAGGGCACAAAGGTCCGAGTAAGGTGGGCAGGTAGGAGAACCCCGTGTGAAAAGTGGGCTCTTGCTATACTTTATTCATATTCAAAAGTAAGGTTACGACTGCTCTGTCTTTTCTGAGACAGTTCTTCAAAGGTTGGGAAGAAAATCCAACGTCCGCTTTGTTTCTTCCTTGTAGAATGCTGACCCTAAGTCGTCCCTCAAAGGCGTCAGCAGCCAGCTTGGAGAAGGGCCCAGTGATGGACTGCCACTTTCCAGCAGCCTCCAGTTTCTGGAAGATGAGCTGGAGTCTTCTCCGCTTGCTGATCTCAGTGAGGACCAGCCTTTCGACATTCTTCAGAAGTCCTTGCAGGAAGCCAACATCACCGAACAGACGCTGGCGGAAGAGGCCTATCTGGACGCCAGTATAGGTTCCAGCCAACAGTTTGCCCAGGCTCCGCTCCATCCTTCTTCATCAGCATCCTTTACTCAGGCTTCTAACGTTTCCAATTACTCAGGTCAGACGCTGCAGCCCATCGGGGTGACCCACGTGCCTGTCGGAGCATCGTTTGCAAGCAATACAGTGGGTGTGCAACATGGCTTTATGCAGCACGTGGGAATCAGTGTGCCCAGCCAGCATTTGTCCAATAACAGTCAGATTAGCAGTTCTGGTCAGATACAGTTAATTGGGTCATTTGGAAATCAACCCTCCATGATGACTATTAATAACTTAGATGGATCGCAAATTATACTCAAGGGCAGTGGGCAGCAGGCACCGCCGAATGTGAGTGGAGGGCTGTTGGTCCACAGGCAGACCCCTAACGGCAACTCCCTGTTTGGGAACCCCAGCTCCAGTCCAGCAGCACAGCCCGTAACCGTCCCCTTCAACAGCACCAACTTCCAGACATCTCTGCCCGTGCACAACATCATCATCCAGAGGGGTCTCGCACCCAATTCTAATAAGGTCCCAATCAATATCCAGCCAAAGCCCATCCAGATGGGCCAGCAAAACACGTACAGCGTGAACAATTTGGGGATCCCGCAGCACCATGTCCAACAAGGGATCTCCTTCGCCTCGGCTAGCTCCCCCCAGGGCCACATGTCGGTGAACATTGTGAATCAGCAGAACGCGCGAAAGCCCGTCCCCTCCCAGGCGGTGAGCGGCACGGGGGGCAGTATTGTGATCCATTCTCCCATGGGCCAGCCTCACGCACCCCAAAGTCAGTTCCTCATCCCCACAAGCCTTTCCGTCAGTTCCAGCTCGGTCCACCACGTCCAGACCATAAACGGGCAGCTTCTTCAGACCCAACCCTCTCCGCTCATTTCTGGCCAAGTGGCCTCAGAGCATGTCATGTTGAACAGGAATTCCTCCAGCATGCTCAGGACCAACCCACCCTACTCTGGCCAGATGCTGAACAACCAGAACGCTGCTGTCCAGTTAGTGCCCGGGCAGACGTTTGCCACCTCCGGGAGCCCAGTGATCGTCAACCACGCTTCTCCTCAGATTGTGGGCGGACAGATGCCCTTGCAGCAGGCATCGCCAACCGTGTTGCACCTGTCGCCGGGGCAGAGCAGCGTCTCCCAGGGGAGACCCGCCTTTACCACCATGCCCTCAGTGACCAGCATGGCAGGACCCAGTCGTTTCCCCGTTGTCAGCTCCTCCAGCACTGCCCATCCCAGTCTTGGCTCCACGGTCCAGGCCGGTGTGTCAGGATCAAACTTCCCTGGAGATCAGTTGAGCCAGCCAAATCGGACTCCAGCGCCGGTCAGTGTGTCGCACCGTCTTCCAGTCTCCGCTTCCAAATCGACCAGCACCTTCAGCAGCGCATCCGGGGCAGGGACCCAGCAGCAGTTGTTCTGTCAGGTAACACGCGGTGAATGGGGTGGACTTTTGGACCGTAGGACCCCAATTTATTTATTAACGGGGGGAAAAAGAAACATTGAACTCGTGATTGCCTTGGTTTGCTTATTTATTTATTTGAATCCAGCGTAGCATTCTGTTTTAGAATGAAGATTCTAGAATCAGACTCTTGGGTCTGAATGTAAGCTTTATGATGTCAAACGAGTTCACTTAGCTTTCTAAGCTTCATTTTCCTGAAAGGGGAAGTGGAGATACTGCTTTGACCAATCCTGCGGAATTATCAGGATTAAATGAGATAATCCGCATAACCTGTTTAACACCATCTCCGGCATATAGCAGATAGTCAGAAAGAGCCAAGGTTGCTCTGTACTCGATGCAATACAGTGTGTGCATTTAAAATGAAAACTTCTTTTGGGTTATTTGTGGACACAGAGCAAGCAACTAGGCATGTGCCTGTGGGCTCACGTGAAGCAGTCCTGGCTGCTGCTTGGGTGCCACCTGGAAGGGTGGGCTCAAGAGTTCAGTGTGACCCTGACCTGGAGCAGAGGGGAGTACAGGTCAGGGATCTCAGGCCTCCATCAGCAGACCAGCCACGTGAACTTATTCTTATCTTACCTGCTTTGTGCAGGCTATCACTGTGGGAATCCAGAGGATTCTTGAAAATGCTTGCACATGGTTGTCTCCTGGACACCGTGTACCCAGAACCGGGACTCACTCCCGGCCTTAGACAGGGAGACAGTTTGAAAAACAAGGTGTGTCAGTATTTCCAAACCACATTCCTGACACGCTTCAGTTCACTCCCTTCCATCCGACGATCCCTCCTTTCATCTAGCTCTTAGTCCTCGCTCACTCTGGAGACGATCCATACTGAGAGCTCCTTGCCCCGTCTCCTCGGGGCCCATCCTCCACCCCCACTTCCATGCCCATAGTCTCCCTCTGCCTTCCTCCCCCATGTCGGAGTCTTCCGAAACATCTCTGCACCATGTGGAGCCAGCTTTTAAGAAATGTCTGCCTTTGCCCTAGTAATTCCACAAAGAATCTTAAGGAAGCTAGCAAAGATTATTTCTAAGCAATGGTGTTTACTGTACTATTTTTAGTATCAAAGGTTTTTTTGTGGGGTTGTTGTTGTTGGTTTGTAGATGGTGCTGGGGATGTGTGGGGGTGTGGATGTTTAACGTCAGACTGACAGAAAAGTGAACGTTACAAAAACAGTACAAAGAATTTCCCTTTGCGTGGTTGTCCTTCCCTGAGGTTCCAAAAGGTTCGCTTCCCACCTCGTTTGTTTGATCCTCTGTAGCCTGTGTCTGCTCTCCCCTCCTACTCCCTCTCCCTCACTAGCTCGATCTGAAAGAGTAAATCGCAGCCATGTTAACTCCTGGGTCACTAATACTTTGGCCTTCGGTTGTGGATTCCCTAAAAATGACATTCCCTATAGAACCACAGAACAGTAATTGTCAGCGTTGTACAATACTATCACCGGATCTACAGGCCAGATTCCGGCTCCGTCAATTCTCATAACCTCCATGACAGCAAAAGAGGGAAAACAGATGTTTCCATGCCCTACACTCCGGTCTGATTTGTTCCTGTGTCTCCGTCTCACACCATGTTACCGTCAGGGAGTCAATTCCAGCTCGTCGGACAGGCTAGAACTGCCCCTGGGGGTTCAGAGACGGTCAGTCTCTGCGGGAGTAGAACGCCATCTCTTTCCCGAGGAGCAGCTGGGAGTTTTCGAACTGCTGACCTTATGTCAAGTTAGCAGCCCGATGCACGACCACTGTGCCACCAGGGTTCCTGTGTTTCCTTGGTAGTCTTTAAATCTGGGACAGTTAACGCTTCCTTTCTTTGTCTTGTATGCCCTTGAGATCTTAGAACATCCCTCACTTTGGGTCGGTGCACTGTTTCCTCGCGATTGGGTTCAGGTGAACATATTTTGCAAAACTGCCATAAACGCCCTGTGTTGTCCTGGTGTCCCTGACGTGGATTGGCCCCATCGCTGGTGAGGCTAACTTGGATCACTCGCTTATGCTGGTGGGTGATGTGTGCTAGGTTACTCTTCCCCTCCTGTCCTCTAGAGGTACCTTGTGGGAGATGCTCTGAGGCTCTACAAACACCTGTTTTCTCATCACACTCGCACACACTAGAGTAAACTCCACCATGAGCCCCTACCTGAGCCAACGGTCACTGCATGACTGTCAGGCAGAGCTGTTCTCCCGCCATCGTCCTCTCTGGTTCCTGCTGGTATTCTACTCCAAAGAAGGACTCTGCCCTCTCCCTTTTTAATTTATAGCAGAGTGGACTCGTCTGCGCTTGTTTTCTTCGCTGGGCTGTGAATATTTACTGTCTTTTTCATTTTGATGCACGGATTTGCCCGGATCTGGATCTGGCCTTCGATCCTCTCTCCAAATTGACTGCTGGGTCTTCTGACAGACGTCCATCACACTTTGTAGTACTCTTCACCAATCTTGGGGAAAACACAATGCTTCCTATGTTATCTTTTACTTCCCCTGCCCTTGACCTAGAATCAAGCCTTACTTTCTTGTGGAAAGCACCACTTAGGGAAAAAAAGCTCTCAAAGGGTGGCTAGAGAAGTCACAGTAAAGTATTCCAGTGGGATGTGTCAAGACCTAGCGTTAGGACAACCAAAGAAGAACATACTTCACATTTCTCAAATGGAAAGAACTGAGGAGTTGAGGGGTTCTCTGGTCAAAATGTTGGAGTGTTCAAGAAGCATCCCCCAAAGCTGACAGGAATATAGAGTCATTGGACCAAAGAGAGTTTGGTTGCTGTGTGATCATTTCGGGAGGCAGAATACGGTCAGAACTGCTGGCGTTGAAGGAAGACGTCCAAGCCGCACTGAAGGCATTGGCAGAAAACAAGGCTTCCGGATATGGTGGAATACCAATGGAAATATTTGAAAAATAATAATAATGAGGTGCTAGAAGCACCCACTGGTCCAGGGGTCCTCAAACTACGGCCCGCGGGCCACATGCTGCCCAACGAGGAATTTATCTGGCCCGCCAGATGTTTTTGCCCCATTTTTTTTTTCACTTCAAAATACGATATGTGCAGTGTGCATAGGAATTTGTTCATAGTTTTTTTTTTAAACTATAGTCTGGCCCTCCAATGGGTCTGAGGGACAGTGAACTGGCCCCCTGTTTAAAATGTTTGAGGATCCCTGCTAGTCTACACCAAGCAATTTGGAAGACCGCTACCTGCATAACTGCCTGGAAGACTTCTATCTTTGTGCCCACTCCAAAGGAGGTGACCCAACAGGACACAGAAATGACCAACAATATCAGACACAAGAGAAACTTTGCTGAAGGTCACTCGAGACTGACCGCGGCAGCCCCTCTTGAGCTGGAACAAGAAGAGAAGGTGGGGAATGGGCGTCCCTAACTGACTCCAGGTGGATCTTGGATGAAAGCAGATGGGCAGATAGACGTTAGTGTGTCATTGACGATGCAAGAACGTTCAGCCGGACGCCTACCGCACCCCCCACCCCGAGAATTTATTTCAAAGGACGTCATTGAATCTGCAGCCCCGGGAGAGGGACATATCTGATCGGAGCACACGGGAGCAGATGAAGGGGGAGGAGGAGAGAGTGGAGCACATCCTGGCCCGCCAGGCCTTGAGGACGATGTTCCCGATTAGAGCAGCCACAGAGAGGACCACGTGGCCGGCCCCACTATGACACATGACGCCCCTCACTGACCCATACCCCTACAGGGGACAACACCGGAGACACAGTGTGGGAATGGCACCAGATCTGATCCCGCCACACCGAGGCAAAACACTAAGGGGGTGCAACAGAACAGCAAGAGAATGGAGCGGCGAGGTCCCCAGGGAATGCTGAAGGTGGGCTTTGGGGCCAGGGCGTGGTGCCCCAACAGACTGGCCTGGAAAACACTCCTAAAGGCCAACAAGCGATCCTTGAACTAACGACAACAAAAGGAACGTTCAGCCATGTACGTTCAGCCATGTCATAACCACCTGAGTCTAGCAGTGACAGGAATTATAGAACACCTCCTGGTCTCTTGTGGAACCTGAGCCACAAACAACTCGATGACAGTGGGTTGGGTTTTTTGGTTCTAAGTCCAACGGGCAGTTGTTATACTGGAACAAGGGGATACGAGCGGTTTAAAGTCAGGGAGGGTGTGTGTCAGAACGGTATCATATTCACCATACTTACTCTGTATGCAGAGCAAAGGCTTCGAGAAGCTGGCCTGTCTAAAGTCAACAACGATATGAATTGCACCTCAACGTTAAAAAAACAACAAACAACATTCCCCCTTGATAAATTTGAATGATGGAACTATTCAATTCTATGATATGTAAATTCTGTGCCCATAAAACTGTTGATTTTTTTTAACGTCCCGCAACAAGACCAATAAACATCATGGTCCGTGTAGAAATCATTGAGGTTGTCGAAGACTTCATCTTGTTTGCATCCACAATCAATGCTCGTGGGAGTAGCAGTCAGGAAACAGAAGGATGTATTGCATTGAGCAGATCCACAGACCTTTTAGAGTTCCCAAGAGCAAAGGTAGGACAGAGAGGACTAGGTTGCACCTAACCTAACCCATGGTGTTTCTGGTAGCCTCATATACATGTGAAAACCTAGGCAATGAATAAGAGAAGATGGATGCATTTGAATAATGGTGTCGGCAAGGAGTATTTCATTATTAAGGACCACCAGAAGAATGGGCCAATTTGTGTTGGTGGAAGTCCAGGCAAAATGCTCCTTGGAAACGGTTTCACGTTCTTCGGACATGTTATCAGGGGGGACCAGGCCTTGGAGAAGGACATCATGCTTGGTCAATTGAGAGTCATTGAAAAAGAGAAAGACTTCAACAAGGTGGACTGACCCCGTGGCTGCAGGGTCAGGCATGGCAGTCGTGGGGGGATGCCACCGGACCGCAGTGTCCTGTGCCAGTGCAGGCAGGGCAGTGGGAGCCGACACCAGCTCCATGGGCTCCACAGCACATGCATAGGAAGTGACAGCT